ATTGATCCGGGAGTATGGATCAGATCAGGATTAGGGTATAGTTAATTGTCCTTATTCCGGGAGTATGGATTGGGTACAATTATTGATCCGGGAGTATGGATCAGATCAGGAGGTTAGTTTTAGATCCGTGAGTATGGATCAGGTGAAAAAGGTTAGTTTTAGATCCGTGAGTAGGGATCAGGTAAAGAGGAAAATTTTAGATACGAGAGTTTAGATCGTGTCGTTGTGAGGATCGATGGGGTGGGATAAGAGTTGCCTTTATATGGTGAAATTATACAAGTTTGAATGTTCTATATTTATAAATATATGATATAACATTGTGGGATGAAAACCCTATATGATCACCAGGCTCCCAAGTCTGACCCACTCAGTTTTCTTTGTATCACAGGTATTAATACGAAGACATATTTCACAGAGACATTTAAAGGAGATATAAATCAATTGTGTAATTAAATGTAAGTTCTGTTTATGCTTATATGTCTGTATCAGAACATGACATCCCGATGTTTTATTATTAAATGAAAATACATTCTCTTTGAGAAATGTTTTGATATGTTATTATTATATCTTGTTTTAGGAACAAATTCCACAACTGTTTTCTTTAAAATAGTACTTTGATTTTAAAAACAAGCATAAACAAATCGGTCTTTTTTGACCGTGAAAATGGGGATGTCACAGTTGGTATCAGAGCATTAGTTTAAGCGAACTAGGAATTTATAGGAAATTTCTAGACTTAAACTTAGAATGCTAAGTAATTATTGTGAGGAGTGTGTCTAAAATATGTTAGGTAGTACACCTAAATTGACACAAGCACTAGTTTATTTTAGGAATGATGCCTAAAATGCTTTTATGTGCTAATTGTTTTGTGTGATAGCTAAATTGATGCTATTATTTGTTCGGATCTATGGTCTGTTGCCGACCGGATCTGGAAACCTTATGTGTGTAGGATTCTAAGCATATGACTACGATATTAGAACTAGCATGTAAACGTGTCGGGGTGATAAGGTGATTTATACGTTTATCGTAATTAAAGCTTTCTTATCTTAAAATTCTCGCTTGGTACACCGAATGTCTGATTGGATGTACAAGGGGTCATGGTGAAGACTCGTAGAGCAATTGAGTAAATGGAGGAAATGAAGAAGGCTTACGATAGTGGATGACACCTATAAGAAGATATCGTAAGAGTGGTATCTTGCCTTTAGAGTATGTCTTATGAAATAAAAGTACGTTTAGAGGAGTACGATACGTCTAAAGTACACCTTCGATTGGCAGGATGATGGAACGATTGGTGAAATTCTTGAAGTTGTCTCATCGTCTGATATTTTCATCACTAATCGAGTTGAAGTAGAGTTGATGATTGAAGATTGAGCAATGAAGAAGTCCTAGTAGAGTCTAGGGAAATTGTTTATGATTACTTGGACACATTCGTATGTGTTAAACTGTTTTGTGATTTTCTTGTATGGTGACTTGGTCGACTGCAGGACAATACTTGGGACGAGTATGAGTAGGTGTGAAAGATAGTAGATGCATATACTACCGGAAGCACAGGACTCACACTTGGATCAGGGAAAGTCACAAGGTTACCAAGAAGCTAGTAATTGATTCCACTTTATTTTGGTATGTCATTACCATTGTTTCGGTAATGACTAGTAATATGGTTCTTTTTCCGACCCTAGTGGTCATGTTTAAATTTGAGTTCGACTACGAGGAGTATGTTACGTGGTCTAGAGGACCAAGTTAGATGTAACATCTAACTTAAGTCAGAAGGTTGAAGTTAATGCGATTGATAGTATCGCACTCGTTGTTAAAAGAAGTTTGCAGGTAGAAATGCTACATGCTGAAATGTGATTATATCACATTATAATATGAAGGAAGGTACATTCCATTTTGGAATTTGACTCTAAGAGACTTGAGTCAAAGCATTGCATCATGCGATGAGAGGTCATTAGAACATAAACTATCGATCTGTTACAATGGATAAAGGAAAGTATTTATCCTAAGAAGAAGAAGGAGTCCACAATAAAGACTTATTTGGTAACTTGAAGGTTACGATTGAAAGTACAACATAGTACGATAAGCAGATGCAAGATTGGGCATCTTCTGCGGTCAAGAAAGCCATAGAGTTAAATACTCTTTCGAGGAAACATAGAAGTTACGGTCATTACCTAGGATGAAGAGATAGCGTATGGAATCATTATACAAGTTCTATTTTCGTTGATGATTTCGGGATGTAATCATCCTAAGGGGGAGATAATTGTAACGCCCGTAGATCCGGACTAGTCAATTAGAGACATTAAGCGTCAAAAAATGACTTTTTGATGGAATATTATTTTGAAGGAATAATCTTAATTAAGTTATAGTATATGTTACAAGGTTTCCGTGCATATAAAGAACGCCAGAATCCGAGTTATAACGAAGAAGTTATGACCTGTCGAAGTTTCACGACAGAACCCACACGACACAGCGCGACGTAAAAAGTGAATTTACGTTAGAGAGATATTTAGCCATATCAATCTAAATGAAAGTCGTAGAATACTTTAAACCATGAGCGTGCATAAAAAGAACGCTCAAATCTGACTTCGTATGAGGAAGTTATGATTTTTCGAAGTTTCGACTTAGCAGTATGCAGCCCGAATGCTCGATTTGAGACCGAGCGGTTTTTAGCCGAAACAATCTAAATGAGAATTGAAGATCTCATTAATTGTAGTAAAACGATAAAAGATAGGCGAAAACGGACGTCGGATGAAGAAGTTATGATTTTATAACGGAGTTTTCCTGTCCCAGCCTACTAAAAATAAAATCAAAATTAGCCGACGGAGTCTAAACGAAAGTTGTAGATCGTAGTCTCACCTACGCGTGGATATAAAGAACGTCGAAAACAGAGTTCATATGAGGAAGATATGAATTTTTAAAGTTTATTAAATATTTTCGATATTTTATTTAAATAGAAAATTTTGATATTATCCAAGGGGGGAGTCACCGGGCTTATCCAGGTTACGCCCTGCGTAACCTAAGATTACGTCCCGCGTAAATCGGCCTTCTAGCCCCTATAAAAGGGTGTCGAGGGCAACCGACTTCTTTGCTCATTTCTTCCCGTTTTCTCGTGTTTTTGCATCGTTTTTCGTGTAAGAAATATCCCGAAGCCCCGGTATCATTCCCGAGCCTCGAAGCAAGTCCCGAGGCCCCGAAGATCCCGAGAAGTGTGATTCCCGAACCGAAGCTCTGCCCGCGAGGAGTCCGGTTTTTTGTAAAGATCTTCCAGATCTGCTGAATAATACTACTTCTACAAGTCGTAGTGTTGTCCGATCATCTTCTAATCAAGTGAGTGTGTGGTTACTTTCTTCTAACGCATAATTATTAAGTATTTAGTATAAAATATGTATTATGTGTATATTTTGTTGTTATGTGTGTGAATGTATATTCACTTTCTTCTATCTCATAGATCTGATTTATTCTCCATGAAATACGTGTTATGTGAGTATGCCTCATCTGTTATGGGGAATAGGTATTGAATGAGAATGCTATACAGGTTTTAAACTATGTATAAAAATATATATTTATATCTACAAATATGTTGGGTAGAACATGGGTAGATGAGATAGTTGGTGTGTGATAAAAGGATGAGTTGGATAATGAGATCAAGAAGCTTGTTTTAGATCCGTGAGTATGGATTAGACCAAGAGGTTAATTTTAGACCCGGGAGTATGAATTAGGTAAAGAGATAAAACTTATTATTAGTCCGAGAGTATGGATTAAGACTAAGTTAATTGTCCCTAGTTCGAGAGTATGGATTGGGTACAGTTATTGATCCGGGAGTATGGATCAGATCAGGATTAGGGTATAGTTAATTGTCCTTATTCCGGGAGTATGGATTGGGTACAATTGTTGATCCGGGAGTATGGATCAGATCAGGAGGTTAGTTTTAGATCCGTGAGTATGGATCAGGTGAAAAAGGTTAGTTTTAGATCCGTGAGTAGGGATCAGGTAAAGAGGAAAATTTTAGATACGAGCGTTTAGATCGTGTCGTTGTGAGGATCGATGGGGTGGGATAAGAGTTGCCTTTATATGGTGAAATTATATAAGTTTGAATGTTCTATATTTATAAATATATGATATAACATTGTGGGATGAAAACCCTATATGATCACCAGGCTCCAAGTCTGACCCACTCAGTTTTTTTTTTTGTATCACAGGTATTAATACGAAGACATATTTTACAGAGAGATTTAAAGGAGATATAAATCAATTGTGTAATTAAATGTAAGTTCTGTTTATCCTTATATGTCTGTATCGGAACATGACATCCCGAGGTTTTATTATTAAATGAAAATACATTCTCTTTGAGAAATGTTTTGATATGTTATTATAATATCTTGTTTTAGGAACAAATTCCGCAACTGTTTTCTTTAAAAGAGTACTCTGATTTTAAAAACAAGCATAAACAAATCGGTCTTTTCTGACCGTGAAAATGGGGATGTCACACAACATAAGAATAAATGATAAAATTTTGAACTCATAATCTAAAAAATAAAATGTAACACAAATTACTTTTATTTATTAGGTAGTATACATGTTTTAGCTTATAGATAATTCTATTTAAATTACTTGTAAAGCATATAACATGTATTTTTGCGGTAAAATTTTATTATTATGAAATATTGTTTTTCTCTATAAATTTTCTATTTAAATTTATATTTATTGATAAATAACAACATAATTGAATGACTTTTCATTCTTTCGGTTAATAAACTTGACAATGAAATATACCGATCAATTTCATTACATCAATCTTCAAATGAATTACCTTATCCATTTCATTTATGTCATTATATTCTATGATATCAAACACATCCCAATAGTTCATGACTAAATCCACCAACAAATATAAATTTAAACATAACAATTTTCATTTTTAAATGGGTGGGACTGTCTCAAGATATTTTTCTACAAATAATTAATATATTAAAAGAAAACATAACAAATATAAATTCATTTTTTTCTTTTGATACAATCTTATATTCAAATTGATGTCGTTACATATATCTATATTTTTCAAATTAAAAAAAAAAATCTCTATTTGAAATTGAAATTGATTTAAAAAACATGATTTACAATTAACCTAGTTGCAAATCGAAATTGAATCGATAACTTACCAACGAACCAACGTATTACCGGTTTTCAGTTTCACTCGTCGTATTTTTCCAAAATTTGGTTTTCACCGACGAACTTTTAAGGTTTTGACGGTGATTTATAATTCTTTTTAGTTTTTATAGAAAATAGTCCTGTGGATTTTGAGTTCCTGTTTCTTATGTCTGTCTAACTCCGTCGTTCTCCGTCAATGGCAAAAACCCGCACCACCAGAAAAACCCTAGATTCTTACACCATCAAAGGCTCCAATAAATCCATCAAACGTACCTTCACATATTCCTTCTCAATCTCATCTTCCATTTCTTTATCAATTTCTTCTAACGATCTGTTTTTTTCCCCTATCATAATCAGCCGGCGATTGTGTGTTGATGCGCCCTTCTGATTCATCGAAGCTGTCGTATGTAGCAAAAGTGGAGAAGCTCGAATCGGACGCCAAAGGAAGCAACGTGAGAGTTCACATACAGTGGTATTACCGACCGGAGGAATCGATCGGTGGCCGGAGACAGTTTCACGGCACTAAAGAGGTTTTCCTCTCCGATCACCATGATGTTCAGAGCGCCGATACAATCGAAGGCAAGTGTACTGTTCACACTTTCAAGAGCTATACAAAGCTTGACTCAGTTGGTAACGACGATTACTTCTGTCGTTTCGAGTATAATTCTTCCACTGGAGCCTTCAATCCTGATAGAGTCGCTGTGTATGTATAACTATAACCTTTTTTGCTGTAATTCTTCTCACATTTCTTGATTATACTTCGTGAAAAGCATGAATTTTTACTCTTTTTCTTGTCGCTATTGATCGATTCAATACATTCATATGAATGTTAAATGGTTCTTGTTAACATGGCAGATACTGTAAGTGTGAGATGCCTTACAATCCCGATGACTTGATGGTTCAGTGCGATGGCTGCACAGATTGGTAGGTTTATTCTGTCATATCTTTCTGGGGATTTGTAATTAAGTTCAATTCAGTTATTGTGTGATCATTTGGTTTAAAAGTTACCATTTTTCCACGCGTAATCATGTTCTTGTTGGCCTACGAATTCGACAATAAATCCTTAGCAAAATAAAACAATAAATTTCTACTGTTTTTGGTTCAGGTTTCATCCTGCTTGTATAGACATGACGCCAGAGGATGCTAAACAGATCGAGCATTTCTTCTGTCAGAATTGTTCATCTGAAGAACAAAAGCTCCTCCAAAATTCCCATGCTACCTCCAGACATACTGATGTGAAGGTAATATTCTTGGAAAATACGACATTAATGTTTTTATCAGTTTTCTTCCATTGAAATCTTAGTTTCAATGTTGATCCTTTCATGTTACTCAATTGCCTTAGAGCACAAAGGTAGGTTTTGGGCAATATGTTGTTGAATTTTTCTTATATTTGTTAAACGGTTATGATTAATTATTCAGGTGGGAACAAAGCGCAGAAGGAGGTGATTGAATATATATGGGTTGATACGAGATGGTAAATGTGGTGTGATACAATAATCTGTATGTATATGTTTCTGGAGAAGAGTTTATGTAATTTAGGGTTTTCCCACTTATTTTTATGTGGTATACGTTTCAAAACCTGTGTTCTGATGTATCTAGTTTACCTCGTAATATATAAATCTAGACATGTATAAATCTCTTAACTATCTTTGATGGAGAATAAAGAAAAAGAGGTGAAGTTGTTTGCCTGCTTTTGAATAACTGAAAATGTGATTATCGGGATTTGCTTATGCTCTGCATATGGTATTATTAGGCCCCTACTTAGGATGGAACAAAACAAATTGTAATGTGTTTGTGTTTGTGTTTGTTATGTTAATTGGCAAAAAATGTAAATTTTTGTTTCACTAAAAAAGGTGGAAGTAGGTAAATGCGTTTCTCATCCTTGTCATCAAACTAATATACGCAGAATGAATCAGATTTGGCAAATCCAAGGGGGTTTTGTTTTGTGTATTAAATTTGTTCATGAACTATATTAGTAAACCTTTTTTTTTAAACAAAGGCATAATGAGCTAATTTTGTAAGTCGAATAAAGAAATTCTCATGTTAGAAAACTTGCAACTCCTAATAAGAATGACATTTTTTTACTCATGTCTTCTGGATCAAGCTTTCTTTTTTCCCTTACTGTCTAAACTATCTTGAACTCTTGCTTTTTGGAATTTTTCGGGAAACTACGAGGACTTTTTTTGGAATTAGAAGTTTAAGCTTAAACCAAAAAATTCCTAAATGTTATGTTTTCTGCGTAATTAACAAAAAGTTATATAAAAAGCAGAATTAATCACTTTACTTTGAATATAGTCCAAATAGAATGACATATGAAGTGACCAATTTTATACTTTAATCTAGTCTAAATAAATAAATAAAAATACCGCTAGTCAAAACAAGCTCAAATCGAATTTCGCTTATAATAAGAAGACTAGTCGGTTGAATAAAATAACCTGTAAAGAAATTATAAACTTGGAAAACTTCCCCCTGCATTATACATCTACACGCTTCCATCAACACAAACACATATTTATTACTGAATATCATTATATCACCAAGAACTCAATATCTCAACAATGGCGAAACAAGAAGAAGTGATTCTACTGGATTTCTGGGCTAGCATGTATGGGATGAGAGTCAGGATAGCACTTGCTGAAAAGGGTGTTTCATACGAACACAGAGAAGAAGATTTGAGGAACAAGAGTCAGCTTCTCTTGGAGATGAACCCGGTTCACAAAAAAATTCCGGTTCTCATACATAAAGGCAAACCAATCTGCGAGTCAAGCATCATTGTTGAATATATCGATGAAGTCTGGAAAGATAAAACTTCATTGTTTCCTTCTGATGCTTATGGCAAAGCTCGTGCCAGGTTTTGGGCCGACTTTATTGACAAAAAGGTAACTCTTGACTCTTCCTGATTATCTTTTGATTTATTTATTATTAATACTCTATATGTCGGGGTTTACACTTCAGGGGTATGTAACTATGTAAGATGTATAATGTATTCCCTCCATCTACGAAGAAAATGGTCTTTATTTGATTAACGAAGCTTTTGTCTAACTTTTTGTGTATGTAAATGCAGGTATTCCAACCTGGGAGGACTTTGTTGTACACAGCAAAAGGTGAAGAAGATGAGGCAGCTAGGAAAGAGTTCATGGATTCCCTTAAACTGATTGAAGGAGAGCTTGGAGACAAGCCTTACTTCGGAGGTGAGAGCTTTGGCTACGTTGATGTGTGTTTGATTCCGTTTTATACACGGTTTCGAGCCTATGAAACATATGGGGAATTGAACATTGAATGCGAGTGTCCAAAGTTGACTGCGTGGGCTAAAAGTTGCATTCAGAACAAGGAAAGTGTGTCTAATGTTCTTCCTGAGTCGCTAAAGTTGCTTGGCTTAGTTCAACAGATGAGGAAGATACGTGGAGTCGATGAGTAGAACTTCCAAGTATCAAACCAAGTATATATGTTGTTAATAACAACTTTCGATCATACTTCTCTTTCTTGTGAAAATCACTTTTAATGTATGTTTGATTCCATGTTCGGTTCCAAGTATCCGTTGCTAAAGACGCACCAACGCCGCGCTGCCCCCTTGGCTCTCGCCAAACTAACGAGAACAGAGAGGAGAGAGGAAATGAGGATAGTGAGGGGTTTTTGATTATTTTAATGTTTCTATCTAACTTTTTTTTTAACAGGATCATCCGTTAAAAAAATCATTTTTTACATCTATTAGACAATATAAATACATACACAAACATCCACATTTTAATACATACAAATCTCAATACATCTCTCAAAACCTCCATCGTTTTAAAAAATGTCCTCATCATCATTTTCCTCATACTCACGAACGTATTACAAGTAGCCATTGTCATACGAAATATGCTAGAACAAACAATTACCAGCCGGAAAGCGAGTAGTGGTCGACGTAAACGAAGAAGATACAGCTAAGGAGAATGTTGAGAACGTGAACGGACCCACCAACGTCTCATATGTTATTATTTTGGATGAGCATGCTATCTTTTAAGGATATTGTTTCCTAACCTTTCAGTTTTTGTTAAAACTTTGTCATATCCAAATGACTCTCAAAGATCAAGATTTACGGGAGCCCAAGAAAAAGCGGGGAAAGACCTCACTACAAAACATAGTTAATAGTGTGACGAGATATTTTTTGGTGTGGCGAAGCCTAAAACTGCACCGTTAAAATACATCGCATTAATAAACCAAGGAACCGCACCGTTTAAAGCATTTGTTGGCGTGGTTTTCCTATACCCACAGTAAAAACCATTAAAAAGACATAATTTGATGCATTAGTTCAAAACCGCTCTATTAAACTCAAATGAAAATCACATTAATGAAGCATGTGAGAACCAAACCATTTATTTATTCTATCCTCTAAAAATTTCATCCTAAATTTTCAATTCCCTCCCAATCTTTCGTTCTAATAAACTGCATCAATAAATACTGGGAACAGTGGCAAACGCAGACTGTTTTAGTGGGTGCACCTAATAGAAAAAAAAAAATACACTGCATGCTGGAAATTGAGCAGTGGTCCGGAACCCTAAATACCCCACTAAGGTCCGCCACTAACTGGGAACCACATCAATAAACCATTTGTGCCCTATATTGTTCGTGTCCCCCCTTCAAAGAACACAAAACATAGATAAACCACTTTCTTTTCTTTTTCTGATTCACGTTTGGTGGCATCGGGTTGTTTAAAGTGGTAGATCAAAAAATATATAAGTGATGGTGGTGCGTGGATTGTTCTTGGCAAATGCAGGATTTTGTGACCGGTGTTCTCAGTGGTTAGTGGTGGAGATGACATGTGGCATAATAGTGATCCAAGGTGGCAACATGGTTAACCGGAGGTGAAGCAGACTCATGAAGATGACGATATATATATATATATATATATATATATATATATATATATATATATATATATATATATATATATATATATATAGCTAGGTTCCAGTGTTTAAAGTAATTATTGTGTTATTGTATGCATAAATGTGGGCCAATCAAAATTTAAAATAAAAATAATTAATTAAATAAATAAATAAGTGTAAATAGGTAATTTGATAATTAGTTTCAACAAATAATATACTATAATTATGGTAACTATTAACTTCAGCTACCAAGGTTTTCTCCATCCATCGTCCGCTTTTTAAAACCACCACCTACACCATTACTGCCGAGGTTGAGGGGCACAACACAACCACAATTACCATCATCACCGACAGTCCTCCACCACTCGTCGCCTTCATCCACCAATGTCGCCCACCTCTGACGCCCCCTCTGTCTTCGAAAACCCTATCACAAGTTTGTGACGACAAGAATCCATCCCCCGACTCCTATTATTGATCGCCATCATTTGAAAAATCCCGAACATCAAAAAGGTATTTGATTCGACTGCAATTTAGATTCCGAAGAAGATTTGAAGATGTTTACATAACCTGTTTGTAAGTTTTTTCTTCCCCGCTTGCTGTTCTAATCATACCCTGTTGCTCAAAAGCTTCAAGAATATGTGAACTATTGCAATTTCAAAGAACTTACTATCTAAAGCTTCGACGATAGCTTCGTCGTTGGCTTTCAACCCCTCCAAGAGAGTGATTAAACACCACGGTGCATATGTAATCAGGAATCTATCGGGAAGAATTGGTTTCTATTCTTCTTTCCAGGTTTAATTTCTCCAGTTTCTGGTGGCAAGATCGGCGATCACAAAAATCTTGGCTCCAAAAACCCATTTCTCTGCCTCAATTTCCCCAGGTTTGTTTACTTCATCTTGTGATTTCTTTCCATTTATGCTTATGAATATAACTCGTATAGTGTTGGAGGTTGAAAGGTGTTACAGTTTATTAGTCGTTGTGGTCTGGTAGGATTTGATGGATGTGGAAAATGTAAATGCCCCTTTCAAGCAACCATTCAATTGAATTAGAAAAGGAAATTACTGTAAGATCTTACTTGTCTTTGAATCTATTCCACTTTACTATGACTGAATTCCAGTTATGTTTAAGATTGTTAATCATTGTGCGTATGCCTAAATCATCATAAACTGATTGGATCTTCAGTCTTTTTTTTTTCCCTGTATGTAGGGTATGATGAAGTTGTTTAGAACTATTTTACCAAACAAACAAGTACTTGTCACTATAGTTATTCTCTTTTTGCCTACAATTGCAAATCTATTCATGGACATAATCTTGACATATTCCATATTTCTCACAAGGGCAGCAAAAAGAGCATGATTTTAAAGGTGGTGAAGGTTCAAAAAGTGAAAGAATGCAAAGGGTAAAATTGTGACTAGAACTGATTCTGTTGGAATGGAATGACGAAGTCCAATTCTGTTGGAATCACAGAAGTTGATGCTTGAACAACGGACCACAAAATTGAAAAGGACCACATTATTCTTTTAGAATGTATTAGCCGTTGTTAAATTTTTATGTTTTCTTTTTCGTTTTGATTGTTTTTTAGTTTTATTCTTTAACAATAAATGTAATTCTTAACAATTGTTACACATAATCTATAAGAAATAATGTATTTTTTGTTTTTATTCTTCAATTGATTATTCAAGATTTTTTGTTATTCTACAAGAAGTTTTTAAATTCATGATCAAGTAATAGGTTCAAGAATATTTTTATTATTTATGGTTCAAGAATATTTTTATTTTTGAATATACTCATAAACATATTCTGTTAGAATATCCGAATTGAAAGAATTATAATTCGTAAAATCGGATTTTTAAAGTTAATAGAATGTATGATCCCTTAAAAAAATGCAATTTTCCTTTATTAAATATATATTAATTGACTAAATTACCCTTGTAATTAATTAAGATGA